TCAGTGCCCATAAAATGCTAAATAATCATACGTAACTCTTTAAATATCGAAATTACAAGGAAAATGCATAGAATCTTTCTTTGTAGAGACTATCAGTGCCCACAACTTCTGTATAAAAAATTTTTCGCCAGCGTCAATAATTAATTGGATATTTCCTTCTATACTTTTCAGCACGTAGCTATTTATTATTAGCATTGTTCTTCCGACGTCTGATTTCTTTTTAATTATAGGAAATGCGTTTTTCTAAGATACATGAACTTTTGGGATTGACTGTATAGCCAATACGTCCTTCATAAACACGTGCAATTCTTACAGCTCGAGTGATTAGGCGAAATGTACAGAGACTGTGAACTTTTATACAAGTTTCATATACTAGTTCAGTCAAGGACATGTAAAGAAAATACCGAAAAAAATAAATGGTTAACTTCTTTCATTACCGTAACGTCTAACTCTGACCTCGACTTCGATAATTTTTATGAATTAAATATGTGATGGGATGCGACGTCACTTGTTATTTACATGCAAAGTCTATTACTAATTTATCAAATACGGTACGGTCTCTATTTAAAGAACAGTAAAAATGGCAAAATCACTGACCATGTACGCTTTTGCATAAGTATATGCATACGGAAACCGTTCACGTAACAGATATCGTCCGTCGATTATTCATGAGCGATATAAAAAACGGAACGTTTTCAGTGAAATTGTCTTTGTTCTTATTTTTATTGTGTTGCGAAAAAAAATTCATTATTCCGCGGATCGAAGAAATTAATTAATCGACGAGTAACGCCGATGTGAAAACGGTTCGATTAATAATAACCAAGCAAGGTGGGGACAGTCGTTCTAGTTAAAGAGGAGACTCCTTAGGTCGTTAGAGTCCCAGTCTCGTGAATCTCGACGGCGACGATTCGACGAGGTTCAGAGGTCAGAACGCAGAGGGAGAAGAGCGAATGGGGACGATTAAGTGGATGCTGGGAGTCAGTCATCAATGACTCGGACTGTTTAAACGTCCCAACTTCTTTTTGTACACGTTCCATCGTAAAAAACATGGAAACGGTGTATCGGTTCGCGAAAGCATGTATGAAGTTATGTAGGAACCGGAATATTGGAAACGTCGTGGATAGCTAGCCTAATCCGCAATTTGGCGAATCTAACTTACTATACGAGTAACTACGAAACGGACGTTGGAGGAGTAGAGCGCGCATGCATACGCAGAAATGCAAGAGGAGCGAGTGAAGGTATGTACGTGCACACACGTACGGGACGACGAAGGATTACGTAAACCACGAGGCGGGTATAATGCGATCAAACGACCTACAAATCACAGGCTTCGCTTTCCGCTTAACGTGAAAGCACAACTTGATCCTATAGACTATAGACGATCGGTAGACGATCGGATGATCGCGAAAGGTGAATCCTCCGCTGCCTTTTCGAGCTGACGACGAATTAACCAGCCGTCGATGTATTCGACGATCTTTCCTACCCCGGTGACACGACTTATCGCGTAATTCCGATCGATACTACTGTGGCTGTGCGCACAGTGGGATACGATACCATTTACATACATGAATATTTGGGAGGGAGGGGGGTGGGGCGAACACATCGGATAATTAGGCAGTTCATATGTATAATGGAAGCTTAGAAATTCAACGTTCAGCTAATCAAGTATTAAAATTTTGTTAAGGTGAATAGTAATAAACAGCTAGTTTACAAATCAGATTACATCGATCTGGCTTGTAATTTTGTAGACAACTTTCGATACGATACGAGAGTCAGATATTATGAGCTATTTCATAAATAAATTCTAAACATGAAGTATCATCTAGTCAGAATCTGTAAAAAGTATCAGACGAGATGCACGTTATTAAACCTAAACGGATTCGTTGAATTTATCTGATACGCCGCGTCGTTTCTTGGACTATCGATTGGGCACTTGATTGACTCGAATATGGAAGCAGACCGGAAATCCATAATGAATTTCCATCTGCCAAAACGCGAAACGAGCCGCGAGGCAAATGATCGCTATTTGTCGTCGTTCGGCGCCGTTGCGTTGTCATCCTCGTCGTCATCGACACACGGATAGTCATTAAAGCCCCGGCCCCCGCTGCCTGCCACTCCGTAGCGAATTATGTAATCCGGAAATCGATATATTCCGTGCCACGCGAGCTTCCCCAATCGGGGAAAACGTATCGACCGAAACCGATATTCCGTTCGTGAAGCATGAAAATTGACGTTAAACTGATTATCCGCGAGAACTGATCGTGAGAAAAACCGAAATTATCGCGAACGAAATGAACGTCCTTAACGGGAAGAACAAGCTGAAACGTAGATCGAAAAAGTTATCGCGTTAAAAGCAGACCCGAGCACCGCGACCGTTCGCGATTAGATAATCGAGTCACTACGTTTGCAAAGATTCGTCCAGTCGAGCTCCACGTGGCAGCGGGCAAATTGTACGCCGAAAGAAAAATGGATTCGGTCCCATCGCCAACAGAGAAACGACCGACCCGTTATTCGAATGAAAACCAGATCGTAATTCATCTAATTGACCATCGTGCCTCGCGATTCTGTGTCTTTTGTTCGTTACGCAACGAGGCTATTTGTCGCGTTACGCTCGATTCTAGCTAACAAATATTTTGTACGAACACTGTTTTAAGAAATCTTGTACATCAGGTCAAGACTGAGCTTCGAAATCGTTCTGACGATTTTAACATAGACAAACCATTGTTCACGGCCATCGGATCATCGGGAAAAAATGTACTATTTCATCGTTGTCGGTATATGTATATAAACATGAGCATGTAAATGCGCAAAAATTTAACATGATATGAAAACCACGATGATTTTGTCTTATATCCGACGAAACATTGTGAATACTAAAGATTTCCGGTGGAATCGACGAATCGCTGGCGGCCGAGGGCGACCAGTGCCCGGTACCCTAACCAGTACGTGACGGTGGCTAATTAGGTTAATTGAAGGCGTGAGGCACCGACATACCGCCGACGTTGTCTCGTATCTTCCCCGTAAACGATCATAGAGCGCTCATCCGACCTGGTTCCCGACGATTCTGATCTGTACAATCCTTTAATTATTTATTTAATCAAGGGCTCGAGCCACACGAAACGGACTGCAATCTAGATTAGCGTATTACGGAAACGTTTCATATATTAAACCGAGGTCAAGTCGGTTTTAGTTACAATTCAAAAATTCATGAAGAGGCATCAAATAACACTGCTTGAAAGCAAATGTAACAAATATTTTCCCTTGGCCTACCGCTACTTTCGAGATCTTTTCATATCGTTATCTATCCACTGTTATCTCATTACTGTTTACCATTTATCTTCAGACTACGAAAACAGCCTGTCGGTCTACAAACTAAATACTAGCTGCATTTTCCTTTACTATTACAAATCTTGCAAACATGCTTTTCTATCTGACTGTATACGATTAAATTGCAACATCGTGGCGTTCAGATTCATAGACGGAATAGTGGGTAGCGGTAATTGTTTCTTGAAGAATACTTTTTTACTTCCCGTATCGCCTAAAAAAGATTTACTTGGACGGGATTTCTAAGATCTGGCAAACTCGCTCATTACGAATCTTGTTTACGAGGAATGGATACGCGTTCGAGTAACAGTCGTAACGATTCGATAACGCTGGCCTATTGCCGGGAAAGATAGGAGGCAGCCGCATTGTGGCTAATCGCCTCTGTCCGACTGAAACAAAGCTCGTCGGCTGCGAAACGGTCCGAACGGAATACGTGTCGCGTTTTGCTATCGCTGTACACGTACACCGCGTAACACAGGTACGTACATGCATGGTTTGTTATCGAGGACCTTCGAATTATTGAATTCATTAAACGTTATCTCTCGCATTATCGCGGGACCTTCCCTTATTGAATAAATTATCGACTTCGCTTTTCGCGTTCTGTCACGTTTTGTACCCTCGACGGAGATTAAATAAATTATTGTTACAAGCCGAGTGACGAGAGGTCGACGAAGCGAGCTGATTACGGAAGCTTCGTCTCGTGGTAGAAAAATAAATGCGCGCGTTACGCCGGTCTCGGAAGATAAGAAAAGGGGGAGAGGCGGGTGGGGAACGAGATGAGAGAAAGGCGGAGAAGACCAACAACTTCTCGCAACTCGACACCTGTATAACGCGATAATGCTCTCTCCCGGTTGCAGGAGAAGCAGCTACGGCTTTCAAGGTGGCGAAGGGACGTTTCCACCTGCCCGCTTCTGTAAACACGTCCGCGTACACCGAGAAAAGGAGAAGAAAAGCAACGAGCAACCTCTTATCTGCCACGCGCGAGGATAAAACCAGCGTTGTCAAAAAGAATGCATCTGCCCCTGGGACGCGACCGAGCTCGTCTCCTATTTTCTGTTACAAACGTCCACGGACTATATCTTATCTGATTAAATTTTTGATACCCGAGCGAGGAGTACGACTCGAATCAATAAAATCGCTACGAAGTCAGATATTTATTACGTGCTCAAAACCATTAAGATTAGAGCAGATAATTGCTTGTCAATTGTATAATATTTTAAACCTGCTCCTTTCACCCCGTCAAATTTACTTTACGACAAATGGCTGAAAGCTAGATTAGTCGATTACTATAACGGGTTCCGCGATTTAAAAAAGGCTGGAAAATACCGCGATTCTTGCGGCAGAATGAAATCGCGCGAGACGTCGCGAATGATGTATGACCCTCGATCGGACGAGCGTATCATTAATTCCCGAAGCCGACACAAAGAAGGTGCGTTCTCTCCCTCTGTCGCGAGAGAGGCTGGGAGCGATTCAACGGGGAACGGGTCGGTACGATAGCCGCGACATGCGGCACCGGGCAAGGTCTCCATCTGGCCAGCTCGTGCTCGCATCGTCCGGCTGTCGTTGTTCCTGGTTAGTACATGGCCGAGTGCATTACCGCGTGGACATATCGGAGAAAAAGCGAGAACCCGTGTCCTCTCCCCCGTACTCGACTCTTTCTCTCGTCCCCTCGCGACCGCCACGACGCGTTGCTCGCTTTAAATCACGACTTTCCGCGAGCACGAGTCAGACTACACGGAAATGCAAATGCGACTCCCCGTTAATTCTGGTAATAAATAGGTTCAAGTTGCGACCAGCGTTTCTTCTTAAAATCACCGACGACGTCTATTCTGATTGACGCTTCCAACGTCTCACGAATAAAAATAAATTCTTCTGTAATTCTTTAGCGAATAATTCAATTCTTTTATGGGACGACGAACTGTAATACGAATTCGTAGATCTATTGGTAATTTATTCGTTGATTAAATAAGAATAGAAAATAGATGTAAAATAAATTGAAGGGGGAGATTGACGCGCGTCGCATGAAATGTATCGTAGATAAAAATTTTATTAGGATTTTTGCGGATTAGTATCGATAGCAATAACGCAATAACGGGCAGCGTCACGTCCATGGTCGCGGATGCGCGAGTGAAATCTGGTCGGTTTCTGTTACGTGACGTTCAACTTTCCTGCCAGACGAGGGTGGAAAGCCAGGAACATACGCTTTTTACCCGGTGTACATCCTTCCGTTTCTTTTGCACGTCTGTAGTTCTCGTTTGTACGCCTCTCTCGTCAGTCAAAAAATGAGAATCCCTCTTGTCAAGGCGAACCGAGAAGGACGTTTACAACAATGGCACGTTTTGAGTTTAAATTATTACGAAGTTCTACGATTCGATGATTAATAAGAAAATCAGGTAAGAAACCGATCATTTCATTTCATTCAGCGAGACGAGCTGGCAGAAAAAAATATAAGAGCCACGCGTGGCAGAGAAAACGACCGCTCGTATTAGCCAATACGAGAAGCGGTTATTAGGGAAGTTTAAAAATCGCAAAACACCTGTTGAGCAGCGATAAGAGGTGCGGCGAGAGGCCTTCCATTCGAAAGGTCATTCGCATCGCGAGAGGAATCGCGTATCGGTGATTACCGGTTAATGTTGCTGGAAGCTCTTTTAATGCACACGAACTACCGCAAACTCTGCGCGCTCCTTAAAAATCGTCGGAAACGGTACGTCTGTTATGCCCCTGGCAAATCATTTAGTATTATTTTATCGTTTCGACACGAGACTCGAAAAGCACGGAGCATAGGAAGTAAATCTGAGGTGAAACGCGTGAACGGAAGTAATTCGGAGGGTGGGCGAGATAAAAGAGGAGTCGATGTTTACGAGCGACGAAAGGGCGAGCGAGACGAGCCTTTTAGTTTCGCCATAACGGTCGTATGGAATTTGTCCGTAGAGCCCTCAAGCAGCTGCCACCGCCTTGGTGTTCGTCTCCGGGGTTGAAATCGGAACACCCCAAGGATCCCGAACTACCCCGGTCGAACACGTTTCCTTCGACGACTAGGAAGAGCCGAGAAAAATAAGTGTGGGAGATGCCACATGGCGTGTTGCCCTGACGAACCGCAACGCTAAATCTGGAGTCTCGGCTGCTCCAGCTAAGTCGATGACAAAATAATCTCGGTGAGCCGAGCCCGCGTGCCACTCGATTCAAGACGAGATAATAAAACCGATAGAAGCAAATCTAATTATGTATTCGATTCTGATTTCTACAGGCATGTATTTACGTCGCACGCGTCCAACTGCGATCCATCAGATTATATAAAATCGCTTGTCAGACGAAAGCGGGGCGGATTGATAGTCGCGGAAAACTAATCTGTAATCTGTCACGCGAGCCGTGACACACGGTAAGACCAGATTTTATGCACTCTCGTAAGTGCGTCGTATAGAGCAGGTATATTTCTACTGGCTGCTGTGTCTGTTCTCATAAATCATGTATCCGAAAGAAAGCTACGGGATTTATCCGATACCGAAACGTACGAGCCACTAATCGCGTCGCGGTCGCTGATCTTTGCTCCAATTCGGCGAACCCAAATGTGGACTCCTCTAAAAATTCACGTATACACGGCTACGAAAATATTTCTCTACCATTCATAATAAAAAGAAATGTTTGTCAGCTACTTCTAGTCGATTAATTTTTTGTCGATTCTTTTGATCTCTTGCTTGGCAGCATTCGTGCGTCGCAACCTTTTCTCCCGCGACATAGAAGTGATACGAGATTAGATGAAGAGAGACTTACCCTGACGGGAGCACGGAAGAGCGGAGCGGTGACGTGTGGATTAGTGTGATGAGCGTGGTTATGGCCATGGTGATGGTGTCTGGTGTCAGAACCACCTCCTGCAGCCGCCTGTTCGGCCTGGACCGACATCGCCGCGCGGGCCTGTCGTTCCCGCTCCCGAAGTCGGTCCCGGTCCACGCTGAAAATCAAACATTTCGTTTTGATTAGATTTTTGCATATCGAACAATAGGACAATTATTATATCTAGCGATTCATCGACTTTCGTTCTCAAAAGCCTGGTCTCATGGGATTGGACTCTCTTTTAAGTTTAGGATACCTCATACACATAGTTTTCTGAGTATACGATAAAGAGAATTGATAAAGTATTATCACTGATTTTCGTACATATATTTATTTTATTTATTTATTTATTTATATTCACGAGTTAGGAGGACGAACATAATACATGCTAAAAGTTATATAGCTGCGATAAAAAAAATACAAGGTATTTAAAAAAATACGAAAAGAATGGAAATCAGAATACAGAGATTATGTTAAATCATAACTAAAGATAAGAACGTAGCTTCCGTCTGATGGCACGGCTGGAATCATTAAATATGTCAATAAGATGACTGAATCTATTGACTTTGGAGAAGACTTTGGAGTTAGTATGAACAAACCTAGATGTGAATTTTTCAGGATAAAAAATATCCATATGTTCTCTCCTGAATTCACGATGCGACGCGTTCGCGGGAACACGTCAACGAGGATTGTAAGGCACGTTCAAAATTAATTGTTGTATCTCGAGGTTAACACAAACGAATTGAATATATCTGATACACATATACTTTGTTAGTGTGTTTTACAAACGTGTTTCGCGTTTCGTGTCTGATCAGATACTGATTCCTCAGTCTTCGTTTTCCCTTTTTTGGGTTTTCTACCCGATTTGTGGGCGTTCCGTTCCGGAGCGTTATGCTGTTTTTTTTTTTCTAATTGGTTGTCGTTTCGTACTGTATTTGTGTCGTCACACCGTCTTGACCGGGAAAAGTGGGAGAGCTCTTTTCTACTTGCGGTGCACATGGGTCAATGGGTCGAACGTTCCCGAATAATGATTATCCCTTTTCCTTTCTTTTTTATGACTATTATCCTTGACCGATGGCATGCACCGCAGATGAGCTTGAGTTTCCTGATAGGCAAAATTCCTTTATTGACCAAAACGTGAACCTCTACTCAAAAACCGTAAAACGATAAATCTGTAGGTAGTGTCATAAACAGATCCCGTTACAGAATTAGAGTTAATCGCTTCCAACTGAGTGTTTCACGAAACACTATAAATGATAACATTGAAATAGTTGTATGTACACGTATAAATGATAGTAAACAGGATTGTATCAAGATACATTTAGATAGGAGAAAACTGGGCCGCAAGATACACGAAAGGATTTCTTGCTAACTCAAGAAACGTTCCTCGGTTCGCGTTGCGTGTCGATGTTCAATATCCGTGACATTGGCTAAGCAAGACGTTCTATTTTAAGCGGTTCTTTTTTAAAGCGAAACTCCGCGGCCGAGCTTCTTGCTATTCTCAATCGACGAGACGATTAATCGATTGGTCGCGGGATCGAACACGGCTAGGATCTTTATCTCCGGAGCAGAAATCAAGTTGGGAGAGCAGGGAAACTCATCGCGCGTGTGACGCTGCGCCGAGAATAACTCCCACGTTTTAGGAAATACCGGCGCAGCAACGAGAAAGGGAACGGACGCAAATAGAGAGATTCGTAGAGAGAGCAGCTGCAGCTGCCGCGAGACACCTGTTTAGTCGCATTTCCGGTGACGCAGAAGATTGCGTATAAAACCGATGAATTATCGATTCGGCCATCGTGATTAATCCTGATCCGTCCCTCTTATTTATATAATCCTAAAAATTATAGATGTTACTTCAAATATTTTAAGTATCTGAGACATTGCGAGACCACATAAATTTGGCTATTTGAATTTATCTTAATCTTCTTACAAATCGGCTAGTAACTATTCATAAATCATATTGACTCCTTATTCAGTAAGTGTTAAGTGCGCAGACTGTCAATAGCTGACACTCGATATCGGATTTTCAATGAAGCTCATCATCGCATTTTTGCTCGTTCGATCAACTTGAGGAAAATTAGAAATAAGAGATTTATCATTTATCATCAAGCTCTTCGTTAAATTGAATTATGTACAGAAGAATCTGATCGGCGATCGAAAGTCTCGACGAATCGCTTTCCAATTCAAACCGGAGTGTTATCTATTTCCCCGGGGAGGGGACTCGCAAAGAGTTACTAATTTCCGTCGAGCGGAGATCGACCGGTGTCGCTTAATCCTCGCAGTTTCATCAACGAACGCGAATCCCTCCACGTATCCTCATTGTCGCTGTTGATTTTTCTTGGACCACAGGAAATATCGGACGGGATAAGGATCGTAGTCGTCGATAACGCGGAATACGGGTCGTTGCAAAATTCACGGATTCGGATGAAGCCGTCGCGCCGGATATTACTGGCGGCGAGACTGTTCTCGTCTCGTTCTTGCGCGCGGGAGTATTCCTTTTACCATCCAGAATCCATAAACGCATGAATTCCTATCGACTCTTTTCCGGTGATAACATGATCACATTTCAGTTGAGAATACATCATACATACAAATATTTGAGTACAATATCATTTTACTTTAATATTGATAGAGTCTGTTTAATGTTGAATCGACATGAAATTGCAGGATTAAAAATTAAAACGTATCCAATAAAAGTTTACGACTCGGTTTACGTAAAACTGGAATTAGATGAGTATCGCGTGGAAAGAGACGAGAGAATGATTCGACGTATGTCGGCACTCCCTTTTTTGCCTATTCACTTTGGTGTTACCCGATTTCAAAAGAAAACGATCAGATCGAAAAAGAGAGAGGACGGCATACAGAGCTTTATCGAGTAATTCGGTAGGTCACAAAGCCGGCAAAGTTCATCGCACTAACGAAGCCTGCGCGCTTTCATGATTAACGCCTTGGTAAATGGAAACGCGATGCACACATATCTGCTGCCGTCCAGGATCCATATTCGGCCGCGTTTCCACCGGCCGGACAATTTTCCCAAATTTTCCACCGGCAATTCTGACGCGATCGTTCCCAACGTCCATCGACGTCATCGAGTGCGCTCGACGAATCATTTTGACGCATCCGACGGTCCCCCCGACGCCGGCGATTGATCGTCGATTCGACGACAGAGTGGCAGTCGATGATTCCCCGAATTCAATTCCATTCGGCGTGTGACACACGCGAAACTGTTCGGGCCACTCGATAAATACGAAATAGATTCTTATTAAACGAAAGCGAATTGTCATTACTTTAAACTGTAACAAATTGGAACATAACAATGGCCATTTAATAATTATTCCAGCTTCGGGTATAACGCTGGGCATTTTCAAATGAATCCCGGATCGGCACGACGGGGGAATTCCACCTCAAGAAATAATTAACTATCGTTAATCTCAGTCTATTTGAGATGATAACGAAGAAAGGACGATTTAATCTGCGATTCCAGGCGGGCGAGAAATCAGCTAATTGGCAGAAAACAGAGTTAATAAAGCGGACTTTTATCTTTGAAATAAATCGTCTCAGATCGATTTTATAAATATGAATTATAAAATTAATCGATTAATTCGGCTCACCGATATGTATTTCATTTCGAACCATCTAACAAATATCTAATAGAGAAGAAACTCGTAGAAGTTATTCTTAGATACTAGTTGAAAATTCGTACGTTCAGTGGAAAATAAGTCATTTAATCAATTGGAAATTCCAATAATCAAATCCCGTGATTTACAGCTCGTCAGCGTTTGTATATTTTCGACCTGATAACAATAGGAGTCGTCAGATTTCCCGGCTTCCGCGTGGTTCGAACGTGGAAACGTCAGCTCGAGGATGTCGTTACGTCAGCGGTGACGTTCGAGCAGCCGGTGACGCTTTAACTCCTGCATGTTGTAGATATCCCTAGCGCGGAAAACCCGGAAACCGACATTTTACATTCATAGGCGAGAACATTCGCGGTCACTGCTTCGGATATCGGTGACGCACAACTCGTATTGTCTCGTTCACACTTACGTTCCGACGGATCGATTCATCCGAATTAGAATAGATATGAATGGATTAGATGACGGGAACGGTCGGCAGTTGAATTTCGTCGTGAATGAATATTTAACTAAGCTGAGGAACGTCGTTCAAAAATTCGTTCTATTAATAATGCCCGTCACCGAGATAGACGCGTTATCCTCGGTAAACTTTGTTAGAACGAGTGTCTCGCGAAGATGAAATTCAGAATCGTCGATAACTGGAAAAGTTTGTCAAAAACGCTGTTACATCGCAACAGAAACGGTCGTCCCGATTCCGCCTTCTTGTTTGGCGCGAAACGGAGACCCCGTCCCTTCTGCTGGTAAACGAGCGCGCTCTTTAGAAATCAGCTTCGAAAGAGAAACGCATACATCAAACGTTAGGTGTATACACGCGGCTACCGTGATGCATGCACGTGGCTGTACGCCGCGACGGCGGCGGCGTACGTGTGGCGAATCGAGTTCGAGCTTAGTTAGCTACTCTGGCAATAAACGACCGAGGCAGCGAAAGTATTCGAGCCGGGGGACGGCGGGAATAGAAGAAGCCTGAGAGTAAAAAGAGGAGATCGACGCGAGCTAAAGACCGATGGAAGCGCGTAGAAGCGAGACGAATCGAAATCGCGATACGCGGAGGAGGGGAATCGGGCGGAGGAAAACCCGTGAGTTGTCGCGTTTATTTTCAGCCGGCGAAGGTTGAATGCCGGGATCGCGAGCTCGCAAATTCCCGCCAATTCGACGACCTTTTCTCTCTATCTTCACGCGCACTGTAATCGTAATCGCTCTCCTCGTTTCCCAATCGTCGTGACCGCAAGGTCCGTTCGGTGATTACCGATTTCATCGGCGAGGCTGACACCGATCAGAGATCGATCCGCGAGTACGCCGGGTAATTTCGTCCCAGGAAACTCCGACCGAATCCGATATAGCGAGTAGATTACGCGTACGCGATTCGCGGCCAACTATTACTCACGATTCGATTTCGGTGAGCGATGAGTAATGTGTTTACGGCCGATGTGGGATGGACACAAGCCTAAACAGCGATCTCGTTCGTCAATGCTAGAACGCGCTTATA